GCTTGCATAGAAAAGGAAGGAAGCTCATCGAGCCCAGCTCCCAGCTCACACTCCAGCTGAACACAGCACACCTGTGACTACCGACAAGAGTCACAGAAAACCCACTAGGTGAAGCCCAGCCTAATTGACACAACTGTGAGAAAACAAAATACTTGTCAAAACTACTAAGATTTAGGGAGGTTATGCAACAATAGATACATCAAAAAAAAAAAAAAAAAATGACCCCAAGAATTTGGGCCTGAGCACCCAGAAGGATAGAGTTACCATTAACTAGATGGAAAAGGTTACTAGTTAATAGGTTTTGGGGGAAAACTTGGGTGGACAGATTAAAATCTAACTATGCTTATCAATGAAAAAGAACATATTTTTCTGGGTGTGGTGCATAAACAATGATTCTTGGAACACTGAAAAAATTATATTTTAAAAAAAGAACATATTTTTCTTAATCTATGAGAAAAACAAGATCTTCTATCATGTAAGCATTGCTGGATTTTCCAAGGCTCCTCCATTTGAGGAGCAACCTTTTGGACCCCTGACGTAACAGCAACAGCAGTGATTAAAGGAACTGATTATTTTTTTCTGTCCGGGTTCTGAAGCTCTGCTGACAATCAGTGAAATCCCCATCAGGGCCGAGAAACACTAGCCCAGTGTTTCCAGCTTCGCCACTGTGGTTTCAAGGCTCGGGGATCGACCATGTAAAGGAGAAACCACTGTGCTTGCTCTCTCGGCTGCTTTCCACAACTGGTCACAATGAACCAACCACCTTGGGCTTGGCTGATGGGCTTCTGGAAGCTGAGTGCACAGCCTCGGAGGTTTTAGACCAGTTTTAGATTTAATCCTTCCTGTGGCCATACACTTCAGAGGCAGCACTATGTGGCCAAAGAAAAACTGCCTGGTCACTTTCGTCAGCCTGTAGGTCTCTGATGATAGGTATTTGGACTAATACCTCATAAACTTGAACCCAAATTAAGTATTGGGGAAAAGCAGTGTGTACTCCTTAAGAATTCTTAATGCTCCAGAGCAAATATTAATGTGAAAGGATTACTTTTATGCTGTCAACCTCCTGCTCACTCATTCCCAACCTGTGCAGCCTACTGCGTTTACCCACTCATCTCCATCCCTGCTTAATCAGGATTTGGGAACGGTTTAGGATGTAGCTGAAGTAAAACAACTTAATCATATTCACATGGACTCATTTCTTCTGGGCTCAACCTTTTCTTGGGCAAGTGTTCCTGGGAGGGAGGAGTAGCTCCACTCATAGTCCCCCTTCAGTCCTCCACACCACGACTAACCACTGGAACCTTAAGTTGGATGGGAGACTGGGCTTCTTGGCACAAAGGGATTCACAATGTTGAACAATTGTAGGGTTTATGTTTAAAAAAAAAAAGTTGATGTGCTTGACTTAATAAGCATTTTGTTTTCGAAAAATGTTGGGAGGCATTTTTTTAAAATTTCACCATAAAATTATGTTGGGGATACCCAGGCTTGAGAGACGATATTCTGAAAGTGGGTGCCATATTGGTTGTTACAGTGTGGTCATCCTGGAGATGTGTTCATGACGTGGGGACACTGGCTACCACTGTTTTGTTTCTTCAGATCTCTTAAAGTCATCACACACCTTTGGCTATGGTTTCTTCCGAGTACCATTAACACAATTCCAGATTCCTTCCCTGAAGGAGTCCCTCAATCCTTGATGGACTGCTGCTCTTCAGCTTGTTTTTTCCCCACCTCCTTAAAAGTATGCACCTGTCTCCAGCTGTCTGGTGCCTGGCATCACTGACCAACCTGTGAACTTCCTTCCACTTCTGTGCCACATCCAGTCTTATCACTTGGAGAATGTTCAATCAGATATGAGGGATAAAGATGGTTCATCAGGAACACATCTTCTTCCCAGACCGGGCCCAAGCAGACAGGTGAGTCCACCCTCTCAGCAGAAGAGGGTATAAAGGCCCATCAAGGCCTCCTGGCCAAGGAGAATGGAATGTTTCTTAGCTTCAAGTCCTTAAGAAGCAACCCTGTGACAAGGTGGCAAGTGCAAGTAGTTTGTCTGGGAGATGACCACTGGACACACAAATAGGGGAACGAAGAAGGGTACAAGGAAGGGAAGAAGGCCAACATGAGGTGTATTAATAAGTCAACTACCACAGAGGGGAACTGAAGCTTAATTTCTGTGGGAAATCTCTCAAAAACAAGGTAAAACACGTACCCCAGACTTATGCCACCCACAAAGCAAGGGAGTGAGCATATTAATACAACTCCTTTTCATCACTGGTTGAGAGTTGCTTCTGGGGCATGCTAATTCCTGGGCATTTCTGGTCTGCTGTGTGCAGGGACAGTGCAGGTTTCTATAGTTCCAGAACAAGTCCTCAGGCATAGAGGTGCAGATGTTAGCCACTGAATGTTTTCTGGGGCACTCTGAACTGGAGGATTGATGGACAATGACAGTGGTCTGCTTTAGGACCCCTGCTCAGCTGGCTTTCATTGGCAAATCAGACCTTGGCACGGTGCTCACTGTGTGGACCTGTGGCCGAAAAAAACAGAAGCTGACTATACGGTTAGCCCTGGGATAGGTTTCTATAGAACACTAAGGATAGAATATATGTACTGAACAGCAGTAGCCGAACCAATAATAAATGAGGTAATTCTTATAAGTCTGGACATCCTTCTAGGATAGTCTTAAGTGAAAACAGCAGGTTATGTAACCCCATTTTGGTGTTAAAAACATAGAAAATTCATGCATAAAAAGTCTAGGGATACAAGATAAAGTGTTATTAAATATTGTCTCTAGGAAAGTGGGGTTGAGTTCATTTTTGTTGGGCTGGTTTTTTGTTTTGTTTTTTTTTTCTTTCCTTATCTATTTTGATTTTTTGTAGTGAGCATGAATTGCTTTTAAAACAATGACCAGATTTTTAAATTTATTTTCTTTTTTTTATTATGTTAGTCACCATACAGTGCATCATTTAGTTTTTAATGTAGTATTCCATAATTGTTTGTATACTAACACCCAGTGCTCCAGATTTTTTTTAAAATTCTACAATAATTTAATACAATCTCAAGATTCAAGAATAATTTCAGGACTTTTCTAAATGTTCCCTTCTTCACAACATCCTTTCCTCCCTCCCCCCTCTTACCTGTGCTTCAGAACAGAATAATAACCCCACTTATTTGCAGGTGAACAATGTACCATCATCACTCTCAAACATGGGACACAGTGAGCAATTAGGCAAAAAAGACTTTTGAGCAGCTAAAGAGAGGTCCCCACAGCTATGAGCTAAAAGTCATCTATTTTGCTCATAGACAAGTGCCACAGACTAGAATTTAGGACTTATTTATACATACTTTGTCCACAATTCTAACAGACATTGCTGTCAGACTTCAACTTCATAATTCAAAGCAGCAAGGAAAAGAGGAGGAAGGGCCTGCCCTCATCAGACACACAGGAGGCAGACAGAAGAGGCAGAGCTGACAAGAGAGGAGGATGGGCCCAGGCAAGGCCTTCAGCCTCGGCACTCAGCACGGGTGCTGCGGGTTCCTGCAGGTAGAGCACATGCCTTCCATTTCCTGGCCACTTCCAGAAAACTCCCGTTGCCAAACCCAGAGCAGGATCACAGGGTTAGCCTTGAGGAATCCAGACCAGGCTTACTTATACTCAAGAGAACCAAGCATCCAACCATTAGAGCTTAAAGAGAAGCAGAAAATAGGCCTATAGTAAAGATCATCCATGTTAAAATACTGCTTCAGCATCTTGATGATATAAGGCAGACTAGGGAATGAAATTACTTTCTTATCTTTCAACCCTTTCTACTCTTGTGTGAAATGAGGTAGATTATCCTCTGGTTCCAGAATCTGCTCTTTAATATCTGAACTGATCACTAAGGAACTTACACCACCCATTACGTTTTTGCCTCCATGATTCTATCACTTTTTTTTTTCTGCCTCCTGATTTGACACTATTCCTTAAATTAAAAAAAAAAAAAAATTAGGAATTGGAGAATAAAGCCTCTTTTACACTGACCAGTTTTTAAACTCTTCATAAAGCGGTCTTAAACAAGCCCAAACTTTTAAATATGAGTAGAATAAAGTCAAAAGAAGATGAAAAGAAATGGCATTCCTGGTGAAGTAGGTCAGATGATTTTCAGACTCCAAAGTGTCCTGATAGTTTTATGTGATCCAGTCCAGTTCCTCAAAAAACCCTGCCAACAGGTAACAGGTCTTTTTGAAAGCTTTTGAAGCCAAAGGCTCCCCACCAGCCAGCCCATCGCTTACTAAGTTCTCAGCCTCATTAAGAATGAGAAACAGATACCACGGCACCAACCTGTCTACAGGAACACAGCGAGACAAATGTAATTGCCTGTACAAGGAATATAAATCAGCAACTCCCAAATCATTCATATTTACACCCACTCCATTTTGGTTGTCTTTCCTTTATAATTTGGCCATACATCGATGTCGAGTGTATAATTTCATCTGGGGCTTTATCAGTTACCGCCCAGGGCCATGATTATATGGTGCAGGGAACTTCCTCTCCCTGAGGGAGGCTATCTTTAGTATCTTCTTGATAGCCACTTCTTACACACAAAATCAAAAGAAAAGTCTTGGTTTCCTTATGTGGCTCCAGAATCACTAAATATAACATTTAGAAACAATTTATCAACTGAAACCCTTGGGTTTTCAGCTGCCACTACAATTTTCCAAAGCAGAGAGTTCTTATTCCTCCCCTTTATGTTCTTTATCAACCTGCAATAAAAACTTTAGGATCTTGATACTGACCTCTCAATCATGAACAAAGCTCAACTTTCATCTTGTTAGTGTCCAGCCTAACTTGCATAAAGACTGGTTTTGAACGATCAAAACCATAGCAAAAAAATAAATATATAAAGGTATGATTTCTGCAAGAAGTAACTTTTTACAAATAAAATAAAAAATGGCTCTCCAATCTAGGATTCAAAAGATAATTTATTAGTCTGAGAAGAGGAATCACACACTACACTCAGTAATACGCTTCTTTTATTTTTGTGCCTTTATCTTAAAAATATATTTAAACAAGAAACAAAGATAATATTGAATTTTCCCATAAATTTTGCTTTCTTATTTACAGTGTTACATTGTAAATAACATTCCATTATACACAAATTAAGGACTGTGCATTCCTGTATGTTCTCTTTACATATTCTCTCATAATATAGTACATATAGCTCGAAGATATGCAGTATTTAAGCTTAGAAAAGCTTGAGGAAAGAAGTACAAACTTTATCAATAAGACTATTATTTAAAAAGGTTCTGACCTTAATTCTCTGCTAGATTGTTTCACTGAAACCATTCTTTGTTAAAGAAAAATGCCCCATATGAGGGATGAGAATAACAGTTTAAGTTAGCACAGGATCCACTTAAACTGGTTAACAAATAAAAACACTTTATCACTTAGTACTGTTATTAAATGGAGCACTACCACTGTCAACTCATTTAAACAAGGAGATTTACTCTTCAGCTCAGACACATTACACCAACGACAGCTGGTACCTCTGTATGAAATCAAAAACATTTCCTTTGCAACTTTAGGTTTTACTTGTAAACAGTAAAGCACACGTTTTGTAAAGGTGATTTAATCATTCCTGGTCTTAGGTTACACGATAAGGAGTTTGTATTTCATCGAGGGAGAAGCAAGCGCACGCACTGCACACACGCACACACACGCACACACTCAGGCCCGCAGGTCACTGAGCGCTAACTACAGCAGCACTAGTGTCGCAAGCGGTTCACGAGGCTGCAAGAGGGATTATAAAATGGCAAAGATAAAACATCCAACTTCAGTTTAAAACCCCCGAAATGCTCAGGCTCTGAAATGTCTCTTGGACGCTTCACGCTCGGCCTGAAGAGTCAGTTCACCGGGCTCTCCAGGCGGCAAACCCCACCTTCGATTGCCACGGACTGTCCGGCCACTGCACCGGGAGGGAGTCTTGAAATGTGAGTCTGCAGAGAGGGAGACAGGAGAGCATTAGAAGGGCCAATTGTGTCCTCCCATAAGTGACGAGGGCAGAGGAAGTACTAGAATGCCACAGACTCTCTTTGCATCTCAGGATCTCCAGACCGTGACGGTGGTAACTGTTCAGTGCAGAGAGATCCTGTTTGGTCAAATCTTGCAGGAGATGTTTAGTGAGCATCTACTCCTGCTAAACATAGCACTAGCAATGGCAAGTACAGAATGAACAAGATAGCAAAGGCTCCTGAGGGCACAGAACTTACATTTTCATCATATTCAGAACAGTAATTAATGGTTTTAAGGTCAATTTTATTGATCATATTCTAGTTCTCTGAAAAGCAGTAATTTATATACATTTTGTCCTCCAAAGCAACTGAGAATACCTGATTCACATTTACGTTTTACTCCCTAAGGGATCGGAATAGATTGCAAAAATTCCAATAATTCAACAACCTCAAAAGTGAGGCAATGAGACTGAAAGAAAAATAGGACCTTACAAAATAAGGTAAAGACAGGCATGAGATTAACACACAAACTCTCGCCTGACTTGTGTATCCATGCTGGAGGCAGCCTGCTGCCCCGTCTCTCAGCTTCCTCATTCCATAACCAGAGAGGTGGTTCATGTGTGTCCAGAATCACAACAAACCAACTGCTCACAAGGGAACAACTATTCCTGGTACAAGGCCTGGGAACTATTTCTCTTACGGGGCTTTATACACAGAAGGTACCACGATTAGTGGGTGAGTGAAGACATCAGTTGTACAACAAGGAGTTTTTGAGTGTTAGCTTTACTCAAAGGACGCTGCCTCTGATAGAAAACAGTAAAAGCTGTTCCATAAGGAGTCAGGACAACGTCAGTCAGGAATTCCTTTTTTTGATGATCTGGCTTAATCCAGGGATAGATAAATGCTGGGAGCTTCTAAGAAGAACAGAAGGACTGCATATCCCTTAGGTAATCCTCTCTAGTGGACAAGCCTAGAATGGGAATGATGTCCTCTCATGTAACCAAATATGAAACAAGCCTATGTTTTAGATGGAATGACAGCTAAGCTAACTGATTTGTAGTTTGAGGGTAGACAATATTCTTGAACCTCAATCCCCAAGTCCTGTTAGAGGAGCTGACATAAGTCAAGAATTTGGAAAGTTCTAGAGAATAGCAAACATTTTCTGGGCACTGAGTTTTTCCATGTGCAAGGCAGGAAGCAACCTGTAACCTACAAGGGTGAAGTCTGTTGCCTCAGGTAGCGAGCTGGGTGAGGCAGTCTCTGTGGTATCTCCTGGGATACAAGTACCAGTGAGTTCACTCACAAGGCTCATGCTTTTGGGAACTGTGTCCCAGAATCTGGGCTTATTATTACATCTGAGGGCCAAACTTGGATCTCACCATATGGAAATATTGCACCTGAGGAGTCCACAGTAGAAAAGCTGTGGCTCTTTTGTTTCTTGTGATACATCATTAACCTAGCAGGAGTTAGAACAGAGTGCGTTAATTCCACTACCCAGCAGTCTTTGTCACATCAGGCACAAGAATCTCAATTCTCACAATTCCCAGGGCTCAATGTTGATGGAGCTGTTATTCTTCCAGGAATTCCTTAACATGAGGCAAAAGAGAATTTTTCCCCCCAGGTATCATTCATCAGTTTTGTTTTGTTTTTTTTAATTCTTCTAAACAGACAAAAAAATCCCTGAAAGAGTAGAAGTCCCTCAGTCAATTTCATCCCTAATCTCATCCTCTTTGGTCATGAACACAGTCATGCAGCTATGACAGGGATCAAGAATGAGGCAAAACCCTGGTGGAAAACAGGATGGGAGTTCCCAAAAGAAGTAAACATAAAATTACCATATGATCCAACAATTCCACTTATGGATATATACCCCAAACAAGTGAAAGCAGGGACACAATAGTTAAAAGGTGGAAACAACCCAAGAGTTCGTTAACAAAATGTGATGTAATATTATTTGGAATATTATTTGACCCTAAAAATGAAGGAAATAATAATATTACTTGGAATATTATTTGACCCTAAAAATGAAGGAAACTCTGACACATGCTACAACATGAATGAACTTTGAAGATATTATGCTAAGTGAAATAAGCCAAGTACAAAAGAACAAATATTGTAGGGTTCCACTTACATGAGGTATCTATTAGTTAAGTTCATAGAGAGAGGAAATAGGATGGTGGCTGCCAGGCACTGGGGGAGAGGGAATAGACAGTACCGTTTAGTGGGTATAAATTTTCAGTCTGAGAAGATGAGAAAGTTCTGGAGATGGATGGTGGTGATGGTTATGCAACAGTATGAATGTACTAAATGCCACTGAACTCTGCATTCAAAAATGGTTAACATGGTAAATTTCGTTATGCATATTTTACCATAATAATAATAAAGAAAAAAGAATAAAGCAGAAATGACAATTTCCTACCCAGTGGAGAATAATACTCCATATGATAATATTAAGAAAAAAGGCTAGCTGGGAATGAATCTACAAGGCAGATCCCCATAGGAGAAACATTAACACCATCAGGTTCTGTTCACAAATAGGTTGGCATTGTCCAATCAGGTCTGTTAAAATATCTGTCCCCTAAGAGAAAAGCTCAAAGGGAAATCTGTCTTCATGTTTCCCAGATACAGGGTGAGTCCAGTGGGACCTCCTGGCAGGCCTGGTAGTCCAGGCATCAGAGAATAAATTAATTGTTTAAAGATCAAAGAGTGAACATATGTCCAAGCAGAGGGCCTGCAACTTGACCGGGGGATGTTGGTCTTAAGGCAACTGATTTCCTGCTGACCAAGGAAAAGACCAGGGCTAAAAGGAAGAAATTCTTGCCCTACAGACTAGGAGACCTGATAGCAATCCCTTGAGATTTACAAAAACAGATGGCCAATTCAAACTTATCTCTGACACTCCCCCCACCAGGTTTATGATAGAAGAACATCTAAATAAACCAAGTTAAACTACAAAGCATCAAGGAGAGTTAGGAAGGAAAAGAAAAAGGATTGCAAAAGATGACAGAGGTCTTGAGATAGCTGTTAACAGTACATGGACAAAATATTTCGAAAATGCACTGAGATTTGTATAAAATTTGCTATTTATGTAAGACAGAAATGCTCAACTAGACAAACTAGTTAAAATTAACTTCTCAGGGTTACCTCTTTCTCAAATCATCATCTAGTCAAGAGGGATTTTGCAATTACAAAACCCATTGGGGTCATCTTGGTGTTGAAAGTAATAAAACGGTTGACCATCTGTCCGAATGACAGTACTTCCCCAGTTACACCCATCAATATGATCTTCTGACTAATCAGAAAATAAGTGCCCTTGGTCTGAAAACATTTGATCCAGAATGTATTTGAAGCTTTCTGTGTGTCAATGGAGCATCAAATCACATTATAAACAGTGGGAGCTGTTTAAGAGAATGTTTTATACAAGTATTCATCTTGAAATGTTCTTTTGACATGTGGATTGGAATTCCTCTTGTAGCTAAAAAGAGACCATTTTCTACAATGAACTTATATGTCAGCACTGAAAAGTGCAATAAAGTATTTTACATTGTCTAAGAACTGTGTAGACTCTTGGGTACCCTATAAGCATTAAGAACTTAACAAGCTGTCTTAAAACCATTTAAATGCAAGTGTACTTTTAGGAAAATTTATAACTAATGATAAATAGCACATAAAAATCAACATGAAATAGCAGTAATGAGTTCATTTTGGGTTGTTTTCCTCTACTTCTTGTTGCGTGCCCCACTCACATACCTCTCTAACCATGATTCCATGTCCTTTTCTGGTTCTTTCTCAAGTAAAGACTTCCTTGACAGGATTCCTAACTCAGTCTAGAAGCTCTTCTTCTAGCTCTTATGGCACCCAGCTGAGCACTTCTTGTCCTGTTATGTAACTGTCTTGGTCTTGGTCTGCTTTGAATTTTTAGCCTCTATAAGTGAAAGTCAGTAGGAGGCAGGAGCTGGTCTTACACAAGTGTATTTTTTGCACTTGTCAAAGTGCTTGACCCAGAAGGCACACTCTGGAAATGCTGAGTGAAATGACTAAAACACACCCTCAAGGGGCTATACTTATGAATGCATAAAGAATCTCAAGTGTTTTAACTAGTATAACCAACTAGTTTGATTAAAAAGTCAAACTAGTTTGTCATAGCAGATTCTTTTAAATAGACATTTTTAAAGTATAGACAAACTTTTCCATTTTCCAAGTGGTTGTGTTTAGAAGAGAGATGGAGCTCTTGAGTTCTCAGATGTTAACAGCTCCACACTAGTGGAACTCACTGCCTTACACATAAAATTCTCTGCTTTCTTGTGAATTCCCTGACCGACAAAGAGAGATCCTTGAAGTTAATATTCCTTGAAGAATTATCCACTTATAAATTAAACTAACTCAAAGCCAATATTCTTGGGCCTATATCTTGTTATAAAATCAAGTACATTATATAATAACAAATTTAGTCTAAGATTTTAAAAAGAGAAAGTTAAAGACAAAATATCACAGAAATTATCTAATCCCTTGATGTACTAATCACAATCTAAGTAGTAGCTGAGACTTCCTATCATTCATATTCATGTCTTTAAATCTCTTAAGACCACCTTAGTGACTGTTCTTTTGTGGTTTCCAAGAAAGCTTGAAGCACACGATTTAATTTTAAAAGTCTCAAAGCCTTTATTTAGTGGTTATATTTTAATCCATCTTTTCCACTCTTAGGAGAATTGTTGAGATCTGCCACAAGAGTCAAGGGAAGAGTCTCTTAAACAAATTATTATCCTCCTTTGGTGGGGTCAGGAAAATAAAATCTGGACAGACATGGTCCAAAAAAAGATCTTGGAAATATTTTATTCATTGGTTTCATAATTCTGAGGGTTTGGTTTTCTGTGTTTTAAAAATAGAGCTTGAAGCAAGATAGTACTGTCAAAGCAATACAGGCATTTACAAATAGAACAAATAACATTGAGAAAACATTCCACACAGACTTAGGAAACAATATT